CACCATAATCATAGAACAAAAATCTTCAAATTCTAGTGAAAAAGGCTTAAGGTTTTCTACATCATATACATTCACATTGCTCAAACTACATGCTTATAATTTCATGCATTCTCATGACTACCATACAAGGGTAATGGATCCACTTACAAATAGATAACAATTGTGGTTTCCTTAGTCCTCTTCATAGCCTCCACTTGCCCTACAGTGGCTGCCCTCCAATAGTCACCTCTTCACCTTGTGTCTTAGAGAGAGAGGAAAAATGGGGGAAGGGTGAGTGGCGTGAGTGAGAGGAGTGGCTTAAGTACGCTTATGTTTGGGGTGGTGGTCCAAGTGTCATTAGAAAGCTTTAAATCTGGACAAATGGCACTTACATCAGCATGCATCTAACAAGTGGCCCTCTCAATCCATGCATGTCAGAACTCAGCCGGTGCTGGACTCTCATCTTCCCAACCGGTGTTGGGTTCTCTTCTTCACAGCCGGCGCTGCTCTCTTCTTCCCAACTGGCGTTGGGTTCTCTTTTTCCCAACCGGTGCTAGGTTCTCTTCTTCCCAACAGGCACTGGGTTCTCTTCTTTCCGACCGGCGCTGCTAGCTGCGCTCTTCTTCCCGACCGATGCTACGCCTTCCAGGTCTCAGCCGGCGCTGGCACTACGTAGTCCTTAGAAAGCTATCTCACGGATCCAGATGATGCTAAGTCTACATTTGGATATGTATTCATGCTTGGAAGGGGTATAGATTCTTAGAAATCAAAAAAACATGATGTGGTGAAATTGTCTACTATGGAGGCAAAGTACGTGGCGTGCTGTTTGGGGGCCAAGGAGGCTGTATGGATTAAGAAAGTTATTAATAGACTCGACTTTGACCCCGTGCGTTGTGAGGCAGTAAGGATTTTCTGTGACAACACAGCGGCGATATGCGTGTTAAAGGAGCCACGATTCCATAAGAACTCTAAGCATATAAAACCATGTTTCTATCACTTGAGGAATGAGGTAATAATGAGAAATATTGAGGTCCACAGAAACTAAATATTCTATTAGGAGCACCTGTTAGTATTTGACATGTCAGATGGAACAACATACGATAATGTTGTTCACTCAAGGAACTTGGATGTGTGGTACTGGTTGTAAGGCTACAGAAAGAAGAAACTTATTAGAAGAACTCCTTTGAGCACATGAACATACAACCCCATACGATGAGAATACGTGATGGTCTTCTGCGATGACAAGTCTGAGATTCGCGATGCAATATGAAAGATGTGCTACGACCACTTTTAGGACAAGATTTGAAAAAAAAAAAAAAAAAAAGTGTTGCCTTTAATAAGTCCTTTTGTGAAAGGATTGATGGCGAAAGCCATGATTAATGTATTAAGAGACAATAAGTGAAAAATACTTGAAAGAGAGATTATAACTGGGAGAGAGAGATGGGGATGAGAGAAAGTGAGGAAGAGAGAATGTAAGGCCTTCAAAGGCCAAGTGGGAGATGTTGGGTTTATGTGGCATTTAAAGGCCCTATGAGTGTTTGTAAAATGAAATGATATAGTGGAACATGAACTCAATAGGAGTGTAGTCCCTTGTGGACCATACTAAGCAAACGATGTTTGCTGATAGCAAACTATGCTTGACAGTCTAGGCCAGTCAGTTGGGAAAAACCCATGTTACCTGGGCATAAAATGCAAATCGATGAGGGTTCTAATGGGTCATCCATTGATGAGGTTGGAGTATGTGCGGATGAGTGAGCCGAGGGACTGTGTGACCCTTGTGTGTGATGGTGGCCTACAGAGACGGGGGCCAAAGCCTCATCTATGTACCAACACACGACATGCATATTGATAAATCGTTTTGAGAAAGCAATCCTCCTTTTAGAGTGAATTGTATGCATGTGCGATAGATACCCCTATGTGCCATATGAGCTGTGGTCGCATTAGGTCTAGGTGACCTTGGCCCGTCTCTAAGAGAGGACCTAAACTCCATAGACTGGGATTGCGACCCCTTGGCTCATCTGCTAAACTTTGGTGACCCACTAATGAGCTCTTGCTTGGACTGTGGGTCATGGGAAACACTAGGTCAGTTTGATAAAGTAAGTGCGGTTTGCAGTCGATAGTTGAAGTTGGAGTGTCTCATGATTATTGATTCTTAAGCCATATAGATCCTTTTCATATTTTGTTAGTTTAATTATGGTTGTTTTATGATAAATATTATTTTAGAATTATTATTTAAATTTTAATAAATCTTTGGATATCTTATTTATAAAAGTTGAGCTTATGAAAATAAAGATATTGATTTTATATTGATTTAAATATTCAAATAATATTCTAAAATTATTTCCAATTTTTTTATATATAAAATTTTTATAAGGGCCCATTCTGCACATGGGCCCACCATGTTGTTGGAGATGGGGCCTATGAAGCCTCCTCTAGGGTGGCATGTCCCACCCCGTTATTCTCTTTGCTAATTTCATGGGATATGACATGTGGTCAAATGGTTGGAATATATTTTTTAACTACTAACTAGATATTGACTTGATATGTTTTGAAAGATATTGTGAAAAGTATGAGAAGACTTGTGTTATTTTATGGTATGCATATTATTTTAATTGAATTTAATTTATTGAATTTCTATTGATGGGAAAATAGTTTAGGAAAAAGGGATAATAATTCATGCACCTTCCATAATATTGATGACCCATCTATGGAATGGATGGCTCAGATCTCTCACTCTACAAGTCACTATTGACCGATGGTCCATGTTCAATCTCATTTAAGATGCAAACTATGAGAAACTCTATGAAACCATAGACCTAATTTTTTTCTATAAATTGAGGACCTCCCCTCCTCTATTCTTTGCACCAATCTCTCTTTTCTCTCTCTCTCGCTAAACTCTCTCTCCCTTTAAGGGGCATGCCCCATTGTCTCTCCTCTCTCTAGGTCTCTCTCTCTAGCCTCTTCTCTCTCTTAGCCCATAGAAGGGGTACACCCCAACCCTAGGATATCTCCCATTCTCTCTCATCTTGATTAAACCTAAGGGTTGGGTAGTAGAAGATATGCTCAACTAGATCTTTGGGAGTTTGGACTTAGGTTCAAAGATTTGTGATCAAATGGGAAATTTATAGTTCCATGAAAAAGTTTGGCCTAAAATTGCTTTTCTGGTTGAGATTGAAGCTAGATCGTCGATCCCAAGCAATCAGATGGTGGTGACTCGATGTTAAGTATAATAAGTCCGGTTGAGGTAATCTCCAACACTCTCCATTTTATTTCTTATAATTTAATATTTATAATTCTCAAGAATAAGAAGTGGCATTAAGGTTTTTAAGATCGTGGATTTGTTAGTTTTATTTTATGTGAAGCAAGAGTTATTGTAGTAAGACTATTTGTTGTGATCTTTGTCAAAAGAAAAAGAAAAGAAAAGAAAAGGGGAGATAAGAAGAAAATAAAAATATATATTCCCCGGCAAGATCACATTAGTCTTTCTTTCAAGGAACACATGTCAGCCCTGCATTATGGATCATCCTTGTATATGGAGTGATAGGATGTTCCATCCCTACATTCTGTATCATCCATGTGTATGGAGCAATAAGATGTTCCACATATTGGTTTGACCCATGTTTTTTTCACAAGTCTAATATCTATTTTATCAGACCACTTCCTGTAGATATCGGAAGATACTACAAAATGCCTATAGGTGAAAATGAACAGTGATTTTGCCTACATTGATCATCATCCAAACTTCATTGCACGGGCACAGTTGTCTGGTAGTGTTTCAATTTTCATTTTGTTTTTACTAATCAGAATGATCTGAAATTTGGAGCGTGTGTACATCTTAGTGAGGCGCACCTAATAAAAATATGAAAATAATAATTTATAAAATATAAATTGACTAAAATACCTCCAAATTCTAAAAACACATGCTCCAAATTTCAAGTAATTTAGGTTTGTAGAAACAAAATGAAAATTGAAACACTACCGAACAACTGTAACCGTGCGATGAAGTTTACGTGGTAATGAGGGGACTGTTCATTTTAGCTTATAGGCATTGGAAAGAGTTTTTCATATATATATATATATATATATATATATATATACATATATATATATATATATGTAAGT